GTGCTCCCATCAATTTTAATATATTTTGTAATATATAATTAAGTTGTAATACAATAAATAATCAAATAAATCAAGGAAATGTGCTACAGCTGGTCTCTATCCACTAAACACTGAACTGTGATTAATTAAAAAATCTAATTACAAAAGCAAGGCTACAATAGAAAATGAAAACGTAGAGAGCTACACTGGAACTAGAAACCTTGAGAAACATATTGCAGGAACATATCAGTATTGAGATATTACATATTTGTGTATAAATAGCCATAGATTTTCTCTTTCTTTGCCAGTAAACTGATTCCTGAAAATAAAAACTCGAGATGGAAGGAATTGACCTTAAACATTATCACGATGAAGAGTGTGATCACCATCTACTGGTAGAAACCTACGCTGGTCATGATAAAACAGATTCCAAAGAGGAACTGATGAAAATGCCACAGCAAAAATTATTTGAGGTATTGTCCTCAGGTATGTTCATGTTTAATTCCTTTTATTGCTTTTTTTGTCAGTTACATCTGTATTAAAGAGGCTCTGTCACTTGTAAGGTCTTTGTATTTCCTGAAAGGGGCGCTATAAGAACCCAGACTACTTCATCTCATTGAAATGGTCTGGATGCAATGTCACTGTCTCCTTAAGCCTGCAATATTAATTAATGCAGTTTCTGAGAAATTGCAATAAGTACATATCAGGGTTGAGACTGCCCCTAGCTTGCCTAATAATGCCTGTAGGAGAGTTGGAAGGGAGATATACATATCTAAAGCTCTCTCCCTCCACTGACACCGTCTGGTTAATCAGTTCCTGATTAATGATAGAGCCTCTCAAGCCGCTTGGCAATTAGCAGGGCCTCACCTGTCACCAAACAAGTATAATACTTTCGCCATCCGGCCTAGCTAGCCTGCCAGTACAATTTGGTGGTTCTATATACTAATTATTGTTTTATTTATAGTATGTCTCAGGAAGGGGTAGAGGATTTCTCCCTGCCTAGCACCCCGGCTAGAGCTGTCACTCCCACACAAGGAGGAGAGCTAGCTAGTCCAGCATCAATTAGATCCTGGACAATCCCGCGCATAACCACGGAATTAAGGAGACGACAAATCCCCTACCCCGCTACAGCAAGGAAGGCAGAACTTTTCAAACTGCTACGCACATCAACTAATAACATGGAAGCCGGGGAAGGATCTAGCCAGTCCAACCCAGGGGACATACATGCCATGTTATCCTCACTCATGGCATCCATGGGCAAGGTCAACTCCAGGCTGGAGAAACTTGAGTCGGTCACCACGGCCCTCACTCTAGCAGGACCACCCAGGGCTGCGGTACAAACACCAGCCTTGCCATTAGTCGCTCCAGCCAGCACCCTGGATGACCAGGAAGTTAGCCCGGCCCACATGATACCTGAGCATATCAAAAGGGATATCCTGGAAGGTAAAGACGTCAACCTGGCTTCCCTGTTGATTGCCTCCCAGGACATTGTGGAACATAAGACGTATGCTTATGATGATGTTTCTGTTATTGTCAGATCTAGGGATGCCCGCCTGAACAGGAAACTGACTATCCCTGAATTTGTACTAGCGTTTGGTATTTACAGGGATGTCGTCTGTGCGGTTTATCCCAACAGAAGAGAGGAGTTTGATCTCTATATGCACAAGCTGGTAGACCTGGGCAACAAATATGGTGGTTCAGCATTCTATGACTACCATAGGTCTTTTTCTGCAAAAGTGGCTGGAGCCTTCTCCCAGTACGGAACACGATCCAACTGGGGAAGGATTGATACCGTCTTATTTTGCAGACACTTTGCAGGTCTAAGAACACCAGCTTGTGCATACTGCTCCTCCACAGCCCATACTACTAATTTTTGTCCCAACACGGCAGGCGGACATGCCTCCACACAAGGAACTAGTTCCTCTGGGGATCCAGGGAAACTATCCAAAGACAAATTGGGACGCCCAATCAAGTTT